CTTCAAACCCTCTTCCTCAATTCAATTGCCTCCTGTGAGAATAACATTGTGCTATTCCCTTTCAACTTGGAAAGCACGCAACCACCTACTCACCAACTTATCCACCCCCCCACCGACTCCCCCTCCTCCCCGTTGCTGAATAGGGCCGTCCGGTCTGTAATTGCAGATTTCATTGGACACACAGGCAATAAAAGGCTTGATTAAAAAAAACAAACCGTGTCATTTGAGATAATAAAGACCAGAGCGCAGAGGAAGGAGGTGTCGCTTTGGCCGTTGAGCGGCACAGTAATTGGTCCTGGGGCTCTTTTGTGGTCGGTGGTGGAGGGTGGGGGCTGGATTGCGTCATTAAAGTTCCTCTTCCAATCGCAGCAGCAGCCACGCTGAGAGAAAGGAAGATCTCAACTGCGCGGCGGTGCCATTAGCAGACTAACCGCCTGCAGATAATGGCTTTGCCTGTACGCCGCTGTATCCACAAGGTCCAAAAACACACCGATTCTCATTCAATTACTGCTTTGTACTCTCCCGTTCCCCCCCCCCCCGGAGCAGCTCTTGGCTCAGACGGCTGTTTACCTGCTGCCGCTAACAACTCGGCGCCGGCGATACGCTGGCGTTGTCCAGCGTTCTCGCCGGGAACGTTTGTTTCTCGAGTGATCTCTTTTTGGTTTTGACCTTTTGGTGTTGCTCCGTCGACGTGATGTTCCACCGCTCTGAACCTTTGGGAGTGTAACCTGATCTCGGTGCATCAAACAAACACTGTCTTCAGACGGTAAATCCGAGTACGTTCATGTAGCTCGTGGATCCCCCTGAGTGGTACAGGGCTCCCGTGACAACGTCTCTCTCATCAACTGAACTGGAGCTCCGGTGTCTGTAGCTCCCTCAGGGTTTATTTTTTTTGTAGATTAAACTCTCAAGATGAAGGATATCATTTTTCTGCATTGGCACCAATCGGCCGATTGCCTCGTCTGTGGAATCAGGCCATGAGTGTGATTAAACGCCACCCCGGTCTCGCACACCGCACTGCATCGTGGGGCGGAAAGGTCATTCAATATATATGGAAATGATTACTGCCGTCTTTATTATGGGGCCACAGCGTGGATAGTTTTCAGGAAGAGAGAGAATGAAAGGGGAGAAATAATATATTTATACATGTTAAAGGGTTCCTTTTTATTTTTGAAGAAGAAAATCTCCTGTTAATCCTCCGCCCCGGGAAAGTGGCCTCAAGTCGGTCCAATCTTTCTCCGCCTCATCGGCCCAGGAGTCTTACTTGAGGTGGACCACCAGGTCGGTGTGGGACGTAATCGCTCGCTCCCTCCCAGGTTCCACCGGCGAGACTCTATGGCGACCTGAAGCTACATATAGGGAGAGGAAAGGCTGCACGGGACTGGGATGATTTATCTGTATTGTTCATCAACGTGGATGAATTTTTTTACGTTTTGAACCAACAGCGTAAATAAACATCCTTGATATTAACAAATCTCTGCATCATAATAAGACTTGTCATTGAGAGGCAAAAATGAAACTGGAACCTTTTACCCCAAATCAACCGCTTTCAAACGTCATCACGTTGAAATGAAACTCTTTGATTTGGCCCATCTGCTCAGTAAATTACCGCCACAAACTAAGATGTGTTATGAGTCTACTGTTGATATTACGATTCTATTTTAGGTAACAAATAAATAATGGATTTTCAACATTGCTAGTTTATATAATTAAAACAATAAAACACTTGTGATGCTTCTACTGTGTCAGTCTTCCGTTATTTAAACTAATGAATCTCTCTCCGGATTAAACGTGCTCGAGGATCAGGGCTGTTGTGTCTATTTTAAATGTAGTAATCACAAGATGATTAAATGGAAATGAAAACAACTCTTTGTTGGAGCAGCGTTACGCCGAGCTGTCCGAGGTCCCCTCCCCCCTCTTCCCCCCCCCCCCCCCCCTGGTGGGGAGCCCTAATCTCCGAGGTCAAGGCAGCGTGGAGAGTCTCACTGGCACCCCAATGCATCCCGGACCTCTGAACAAAGTGACACAAATATCCAGTGAATCGTTTGCGTTTGGCCGCCGGCACACCGCAGATGTTTGGGTCGACTCCCGCGCAGAGCGCTGTGTGACTGCAGCCTCCGACCGGAGCCCACGAGCAGCGCGGCTGCACCGGCCCACGTGGTGAATGTTTTATCAGCGCGTGCGCGTTGTGGTTCGCGGATCTGTTGTCTTCACGTTGATTCAAGGGCGCCGCCTCTTCTTCCACAGCACCGACGGGGCGACGCGGCGCTGGCGACCTGTCGGCCTGTCACGCCTCGATTGCTGTGGACGTGTACTCGTCCGTCGGGGGGGTCATCAGCTGTTTAACTGCTGTCGTGGACCCGCGCGAGTAAACACCCGGCGAGTGGTCTCTCGGAGAAAGCACTCGCGGGTCCTCGGAGCGAGTCCCAGTTCAGTCCGGCTCTCTTATCCGCCCTCCCCAGGCTGCAACAGCAGGATGCACCGAACCGGTGGGGGGTCGCGGCGAGGGGGGGGGGGGGACTCCGAGCAACCGCCAGCGGTGGCATTCACATTGTGCCATTGACTCGGCCATTATCCGCAGCTGTGGTTGTCAGTTCTCGCCTCTCTTCTCCCCTTCGCGGACTCGCCGGGCCTCGGAAGGCCGCGAGCATCTGCTTTCATTGAATACGTTTGGAAACGGAAGAGTCCTCAAGGAGGTTTTTGAATAGTGCGGCGGTAATGGAAGCGTTACCTTGAGGCGCGTGTGGCACTGAAGGGGGGGGGGGGATTGCCTTCTATGGGGTCCTGTCAATAGCGCAGGAAATGTGTGAAGTCCTGTTTGATGAGCTGGAGAATCAGTATTTCTATCAGGCAGGCTGATTACGGGCCGAGCAGGACCCGCTTCAAATGAACTAGTTTGTCGCCCGGCAGCATCCCGGGTGTTTATCTGAAGGTCGTTGCTTAAAGAAGACTTTCTGCCAATGCCTTTTTTTTCAAATGCCTAAAGTAATTTTGTGAAGCTCAGAATGGAGAGAGAAGTTTAATGTTTTCATACCGTGCCTCCACACACCTGGTAGAACACTGTGTGGGATCGCAGCCCGATTTTAGCGGGCGTTTGGTTGGAAAAAGAGGGCGGCTGCGTTGGTGTTTCAGGTACAGATGAGACATGAAAGATCATCCAGGGCGATCTGTTCAAATAACAGATCCATGAATCTGAAGGCGAGTTCATGGTCTTAGTTTTTAAGTCTTCTTCAATATATTATCATGTCCATTTAGAGTGAAATAGAAGCAGGGTGTGCTTTAGGGGCGTGGCTACAGTGATTGACAGATGGATGAGCTGGAAGTGGCTTTCAGTGGCAAACAGATCCTCTGTCATGTTGTTTTTGTTCTGAATTTGCTATTTTTAACATCATGAAATGATTAATCCCAGCTACAGCTAATAATAAATAATAACAATTTATTAATTCATCCAAGAACCCCTATGACTCATTCATATTTCTGCAGTCAAGGACATCCCTTCAAGTAGGTTATTTGTCTGACACATTTCTTTTGGCAGCCTCACGGCATCATGTCACAACCTCATCCAATCCCTTCCCGGGCCTGATGGAAATATCAAACCCCTCCGCTCCAGCTGAACGTGACCGGCGGTCCGAGCCGCGGCGTCGCCCTCTCTGCTGTGACTTTGACTGTTGGCAATCAGAGGTCCACATCTGTCTCTGGGAGCCGATGCATCCTTGTGTTTTGAGGTCACTTCCTGTAGCCGGTTCAGAGCGCAGAACGCACCACGGTTTGCTTTGGGGGAGGGACACGAATGGATGTTGGAACGAGTCCTTTCACACCTGTTTTGACAGCGAGCCGCCTCCGTGTTTACGCTGAGAGCTCTCAATTACTGCCGCAGTTTTAAGTAGTAGCTTCACAAAGCCCAGTGTTTTCTCTGTGTGTCTCCTTCTTACGGACCAGCGGCCCCTTCACATTCTTTGCTTTTCATGTTCCACCCTCACAAAATCAAATATTTCCTTTTGTGCCTGAAAACACGGAGGTCCAGATTGACGACAACATCGTATTTTGAAGGAATTCCCCAAGAGAAGAAGTGATCTCAACCGGGAAGAGGGCTCCAGTGTGTGAATAAGGGGCAGAGCAGTGAGGTTATTGGTCATTTGCATGTGTTGATGCTGAAGGAGGAAGGAAATGTCTTCTTTCCATGAGGGGAGAAGGATCTGTTTTTTTGTTGTTGTTTTTTATCAGTTCTGCGCAAACAGCAGTGTTTGAGGTTATTACACAGCAAATCTCTGCCCGAGATTATGGGTTTACGTCTGAATAAAGGTGAACAGTAATGCAACATGCTTGAGGGACCGCAAAACCGCGTGTGCGTGTGTGTGTGTGTGTCGGGCCTTTGGCGTTAAACACCACCCCAGGTATTCAGATGAAATCGTGAGGGATTGTTCGTCGTCCCGGGCTTTGTGATCCGGACATTGTCCCAGTCCCCCCCACCCCCCCACTGGCCCCGTGCCAGCCCAGCGTCTTACAAACAACCCGTGGGGGAAGGGAGGGAGCCCTTAATATGGAAATAGCATTAATTACTGCAGCTAAACAACAGATGCGACCTTCAGCCTCCGATCCGGCAAAATGCTCATCTCATGAAGGAAGGTTGGAATATGGAATCATGTTGGTCGCTTGGCCTGTAAATATCTCTTTGGTTTTTAGTTGTGTGTGTGTGTGTGTGTGTGTGTGTGTGTGTGTGTGTGTGTGTGTGTGTGTGTGTGTGTGCGTGTACGTGTACGTGTACTTCAGCTCAAGTTAACTCACAAAAGCAGATCATCTAAATCCTACTAAAATAGCCGTGGACCGAAAACCCTGAACTCACAGGTTCAGCATTTCCCCAAATCTTCGTCATTAACTTGTTAGAAGCCCCCCCCCCCCCCCAAGTCTCTCTCAGCCTGCCGGCAGTTTGAACCCTGGTGGCGGTCGGTTCCTGTGCGGCGCTCAACACATTAACACGTCTTTTTGTTTCAATTTTCCAGCGCCGGCCCCAAAGGGGACAACATCTATGAGTGGAGGTCGACCATCCTGGGACCCCCGGGCTCCGTGTACGAGGGAGGCGTCTTCTTCCTGGACATCGCCTTCACCCCCGACTACCCCTTCAAACCCCCCAAGGTCGGCGCCCAGCAGACACAACTGTTCCATTATTGGGATGTTTGAGCGTCGACTTCCTGCACAGACAGATGGAAAAGTGCAAAGTGTTTAATGGTTTCAGATTGTGACACAAAGACACAACATTTAGAAGCCACTTTCTTTCCCCATGATCACCGTCACTTCTTCTTTCTTTCAATATTTCATGTTCCCAGTAATCAGCATTTTTATGTTACGCCGCTGTTGTCTTTTCGTCATTTATTTATTATTTGTTATGAAAGATCAGTGCTGCTATTCTCCCTTGTGGGTTTTTACAAATCTTTATCCAGTATAAAGAGAAATGTCCGCTTTCATTTGGAGTCCCGTCTAGTTGGGTAGATGTTTTAGAGGAAGGGGGGCTGAAGCTACCAGACGTCACACACTAATCTGATGCAGATCCTTACTGGTTCAGACGCGGGGCTTTTCCATCGTGTCTGGTCCGGGCGTGGAGAGACATCTCTCCGTCTCCACGCAAAGGAGCCCACGCTGCAGCAGACAGCGAGGAAGAATGGACGGGTGGACGGGTCATCACGTCGTGGTTGTAGTTTTGGCTTTTCGCAGCTCAAGGATTTCGAGCTCAAGTCCCGACCCGGTCTACAGAGTGCTTCCAGGGGGTCGAGTGGACGACTTTAGTTTGCCGTGCTCCCTTTCACTTGGCCTTCCTCTTCTGAAGCCCCCCGCCACCCCTTCTCTCTCTCTCTCTCTCTCTCTCTCTCGCTCTCTGTTATGGCCTCTCCTGTCTCTCTTTGAGCTGTGTAACCACCATCTCCGTGTTTGACAGCGGACTCAAACAAATCCACAGGCTCTGGCCCAGCTTTCTGTTGCCAGAGGGGGCTTGAGGGTTTCCGCCCCCCCCCAGACACCCTCCTTCTTCCCCCTAACGCACTCTGATCCTCGGCCAAACCCCTCCACACACACACACACACACCGAACCCTTTGGCCTGTAGCTGCCACACACACTCCCCCGCTACAGAAATGCTCGGGTGAAGCTCGGTTGCCAAAGGCACTCGGACCCCCAGCCGGGGGGGTTTATCCAGAGTCTGACTCTCCTTAATAAAAAAAAATAAACTCCCAAAAGGAAAACAGGAGCTGACAAGTTCGCCAGGTGGATACGTTTGTGTTTGTGAACTCGTGCCAGGAGAGGAACTCTGTCTGGAGGGTTGGGGGGGGTGGCGGGTTATTTTTAACGTCCTGCCCTTGTGTCAGTTTTTTTTGGGGGGGGTGGGGATGTCAAGGCTCATTAGAGGCTTCCTCCGGGGGGTCAGGACGGCCAGATGTTGGTGATTGGAGCGGCGGGGGCAAACAGGGGTGTCCAGTGTCAGAACCGAGCGACGTGAAGTTCGATCAGAGCCGGGGCGGACGACATCGAACGGGGGGGGGGGCTGCACAGTGTGAATGAATTCATTCTACTGATCGACCTGTGGCTTCTTCTTCACTTTTTATCCTTAATTATTCGGATGTGATGAAGGTTGAAGATTGCAGTGCAACAAACCAACAACAGGGAGTAGCGTTAGTCGGCATGTTAAGGGAAGCGGTTTATTGAGACGAGTCAAGGAATAAATGAACCTGCGTGTGCTGGGGTCCAATATTCAAGGCGCCAACCAAATGGTTTTACACCACGCTGCCCTCTGTTGGTGTGATTTATGGAAGGAGTTGAGGAATGTAGACTGACGACAAAAAAAAAAAAGGAACCCGCAGTAGAATACAATCATGTGCAGGTCCAGCACAGAGGTGAGGGACGTCCCTCGCTGGGGGAGTCCATGACACGGACACTGATGCGCATATAAAGGCGTCAAGGTGAACTAAAGAGAAGTGCTCTTACTGTTTAAGCTTCTCCTCCTGACACACCAAATAATCTGTCTCCACTTTATCATTGCAATCATGATTTGAGATTATTTGTAAATAATCTTTGAAGCACAGAATTCACTTTCCTCTTCAAAGTAGCGGGATGAACAACGATAACTTTGTATTCATACTCTTCTATCTGAATTTCCTATTTGCTGTTTGGTATAAAGTTTGGTTTTCTTGTATTTATCTGTCCGTTGTGTTCGTGTGCCCTCAGGTGACCTTTCGCACCAGGATCTACCACTGCAACATCAACAGCCAGGGCGTGATCTGCCTGGACATCCTGAAGGACAACTGGAGCCCCGCCCTCACCATCTCCAAGGTGCTGCTGTCCATCTGCTCCCTGCTCACAGACTGTAACCCAGGTAACCTCAGCGTCCCCTTCTTTTCCGGTGGTTCGGTCCGTGGGGCTCTATAGAGCGGTTGCTCTGTGAGTCCTGTTACTTACGGACAAGATGATGTTGCCAGACTAATGACGGCGTAATAAGTACCTCAGTCCACGACCAATTCAGAGCCCAGTTGTTACTCGTCTGCCGCCGACAGATCGTTGGCCCAGCCGCCGGCCTGAGGTTGAAAATGATAAAACCGCATTTCCTCAGCGGAGAAGAAAAGTGAGCAGCTGGCGGAGGAGATCCGCAATAAGTGAATAATGAAAAACTGATGTGGTCAGCGATATGGATCATTGGTCCTCTCACCGCTTTGGCTTGAGATCAAAATGCTGTGCGCTAGCGCTGGCTGGTATATGAGCTATAATTGGGTCAGAAGGATGAACATTTTGTGCTGTCTTACGTGAAGAAAACCGATGTGAAAGCACGGGGAACGATTTCATTTCATTGGTATTTCACCGCCTCTCCGCAACAACACTCTACCTAGTTGGGTTGTCGTTGCCTTTTTAATATGATTCACTGGTTTTTGATGCAGCTGCGTTTGCGACGGTGTAATCAAGTCTACTTGAAGGTCACCCAACCGCAATAGAATGAATGCCGCACCTGTCCCCTCAGTTTTGATATCCGACTCTTTCCTCACTTTACCTGCACCGACGTCTCCATAATCTGGGCCCGAGACGATGGGAACGCCGGACTGTAGGACACGGAGGACTGCTGACAGTGACGAACACTCACTGATTTCAATATTCTGTCTGTGCCTTTGTATCTTTCAGCCGACCCTCTGGTGGGAAGCATCGCCACACAGTACCTGACCAACAGAACGGAGCATGACCGAATAGCCAAACAATGGACGAAGAGATACGCCACATAGACCACCAGCCCCACCCCCACCCTCCCCTTTCTTTACCTCCCTCGCCCGCCACTGTACCTCTCTCTACCTCTTTCTCTCTGTCTCTCTCTCTCTCTCACACCCGTAAGGCCTTCACACAACGGGGGCGTGACAAACAAACCACACAGTAATACAAATATTTTGCCAGCTATCCGGATCTTCTTGATCATCGAGCTATTGTCTTTCCGTTGCGTAGCCTACACCACTGTAAGCTGTCTTTGAGTTTCCTTTTTAAGCGTCATTCTTTGAGTGAATTTTCGTTCCCTCGGGTGAACAATTGCGGTGTATATACTGAGGGCTTTTATTGTGAAAGGCGAGGAGAGGAGGAGCGGATCTGGTCGGGCCTTTGTCGAGGTTGAAAGGCGTAACGGCGTGCGCTGTCGGGGGTGAGGGCGGTCTGACTATGGAGCCTCTGTGTTTCACAACCCGTTCCAGGGAAAGAACATTGCGATGCGTCTTTTTGCCGCTTAATAATGGCGTTCTGTGTGAAAGCACTCGCCGACTGTTCGGGAAAAATGTTTGTGCCCCCAGTGTGTTGAGGCCTTTAGTCTGTCAAAGCACACTCACTAAGTGCAACAGTAAACCTGCCTTTATATCACCTTCCTCCTCCTCTTCCTCCTCCTGCTTAATATTTTATCTTTTTCTGTGTTTAAAAAAAAAATGAATGAAGACAAAAAAAAAAGTATTTTGTTCCCTGTTGACTTGAAAGCTTCTTTTTTTTTTTATACAGAGTAGATTTGGATTTTTTTTTTCCAATGTTGGAAGTATTGTATTAAGAAGAAAAAAAACCCAGAATATTATAAATACCATACGCATTGTGCTCCTGCTATACAGTATGTATTCTCATTTTTCTTAGTGGCACCTGGAACAAACATGCAGAATATTATTACTCGTTTGTTTTTGTTTTTTTTTGTATTTTGTCATCAATGTGTATGGAACAGGAAGCTTCGCGTCAATGGATCCTTCATGCTTTTTAAACTTCCTCTGATTTTGTTTGTACTGTATGTATTTTTTCAAAGGCTTTTGAGGCAGACCACAAAAGTATAGGTCTCCCTGTGAAAGAGGCAGGTCTTGTATATTTACTGGCTACCCGCCATCTCTGCAATTGTAGAGTGGTTTGTTGTGCACTTGTATTACTGAAGCACCCAATAAAACACACTGTGGTTGGCTTGTGAGAAAAAGAAAAAAAAAAAAAACACGCTCGACTCTGTCTGGGATTTTGTGTCGGATTCACGCAGTCACGGCTCTCGCTCACACACATGATGGTAAAACTTTACAGGCTCAATTACATTAAAGTTTATCAGGTACCTGCTTTAGTTTAGTTTGGGTGTGGCTCATTATGAGTCCTGCCGCATGTGTTGCTTTTATTATCTCTAAAAGGGAGGTGTGATGTTTTCATGTCGGCTCGGTAGTGCAGAAAAACATGAATAGATTTCTATGAAATTCTTCTCCTCCGTAAACTGGAAAAATGCGCCATCTTGTTTTTTCTGAATCGACGTTGGGCTGTTGATGCATTAGTCCCGCCCCGACATGCTGTGCATAAAACGTGTGCACGTGTTCATAGAGGTCGTGTCCTGCAGAGAAGCGCTTCAGGGTTTTGCAAGGAAATCTACCTCAAAAGACATTAAGAATTAAGCCTTTTGCTAAGTGCCGCCGCCTCAAACGCAGACTGGCTAATCATAGCGTAGCATCGGCCCGCTGTCACACCATCGTTTCACATTTAGGCGGCTTCTGTGAATGTGGAGATAGCCATGATTGAACGTGCACATGTGATGTACGCTTACATTAGCAGAGTTAGCGTGTCATTAACTGGCTTTACCACTCCTCTGTAGGACTGTAAACACATGCTGCTTCTGCTTTTCAGTGATTGTAGCAGTAAAAAACGGAGCTACCCAGCTTTACAGCAGCAGTATTTCTTTATTTTATTAGCTCCTGTCTCAATCACCAGGTGATCTGGCGGTTCACTTTTCACACTGATCCGTATAATGTAGACCTTTTTGTCTGCATTTTTCTCAAATTGCTTCTTTGTTCTTCCAAAAATGTGATAACTATTCACGCAGTGCAGCGAGGGGCCGTGCGGGCGCCATGGTAACGCAGCTCTGACAGCTTGCAGTGGCTCCGAGGCTAAGCGGCGGGTCAATTGCATTGATTGCACATGCAGGAGACATCCTCATTAGACGGAGACGGCGGATAACACCAGCTGCAGCAAAGTGACGATGGCAGAGAGTCTAAAAGTGCTACTTACCGTGGATGTATGAATAAACAAATGATTTCGCTGGGACACATCTGGTCTGTGAGACTGTTCATGGAGAGAACGGCCTCACAATGCCTTTCTTTAAAAGGGTTTTGTTTCTTATTTACATGTATCTAGTGTTAGCTGTATATGGGGTGACTGTCATTGAAAAATGTAAATTTTTCCAACACTTGTTCTTTATATTAAAACATCTACACAACAAATAACTTCCATGGTTTATGCATACATAGCATTTAACTCCTTTTTATTAACCTTTTCCTAAAAACCAGGACAAAAAGGAAAGTAAAGTGACGCTGAGGTGTGACTGCATTATCATGGCAAACCATCATTGACATTCTTCTCCTCGCATGCAGACAGCAATAAATGAATCAAATGAGAAAAGTGAAAGGTTGTCTTTCCACCGATATTTTATTCCTAAGAAAAGACACTTAAAGACACGAAAATTTTAACGGCCAAAAAGAGACTAACCGACAACGAGGAGACAGAGTCTTAACACTTGTATAATGTCTCTTGCTCATAAAGGCAGGGGGCTTTGGCATGTAGGGCCAGGGGCCCACGATCCACCATGCCTGCGTGTTCATCCGTATGAACTGGACGATTTTAATAAAGTTAAAGCACAAAGAAGATGCAGAGGTCAGCGATGAAACAGATCCCAGAGTTTAAGGTCAATGCAAAAACAACAGGCAGGGGACAGTGATTCTAAACGCAACATTAAAACAACTACAATAAATCCACATGAGCGCATGTAAAATAAGTAAAGTGTGAAATAACGCGTGAATGTCCCCGGAGGAGGACCGGGGGGCCGCGCTGCTCGCTGCGGCCGCGGCAGGCTACTTCCGCTCCGCAGAGGGCGACAGGCACCAGGCAGCCGAGACGGTGGCGGAGGTCCAGACACAATAGACTGGGTAAGTTCTTGTTTTCTGTGCGCGAGCTGAGCTACGCGAATCAACACCGATGTTTCACCGAGTGGTCGAGGGCGCCCGAGACGGTCCTCCGGTCCCCGCGGCTGTTTTTTTGTTTTGTTTTTTGCGCGAAGTCGAAGCTCTGTTCGTCGGCTTAAAGGGAAATAAACAACACGGTGGTGGTTGGGTTGCATGGAAAACGGGACCCGGCTATGTGCTGGAGCCGAGTGGTTCCTGGCTGCTTGTCCGACGCGTTTTAACGTGTCGTTGTCACGTTTTGGCCTTGAAATGCGGGCTCGGGTTTTTAAGCTTAAAGAGCCGCGGTGCCATGTGGGATCAGCCCGTCGGGTCGAGGGGTACGTTTCTATCGCGGCCACCCGGTTGTCGGTTGACTTATAAAGGATGCCTGAGCCAGCAGCTCCCCCTCCCCTACGCTGTACCAGGAAGTAGCCTCATCCCCCAAAGTCGTAGGGCCTGAGCTTGCATTCCCAGTTGGAGTCGAGAGATGGGTTGGGGGGGTCAACCGTTAGCTGTGCTTTTTGGGGGACAGGGGATGGAGGGGGTCACCGACCTGATAAGCGACCCAGCGTAACGTCTCCATTAAATTCGGTTTAACGGCCCTTCTGGTGAGCAGAGTTAACGGCTGCGAAACGGTTAACTGGGACGCGTGTGCGCGTGAGCCGCGCACCCCGCTAGCTAACGTTAGTCGGCTAACGGCGGCTCGTCCACCTTTTAACCCGTGAAAAGTGTTCCGTGTTCCGGAGAACCGCGGAGCTTAGACCCGAACTACCGGACCGACTGTTCTAAACCACTATTGATGATCACGTTAAGTGACGTCACGCGTCGAGCCCGGTCCTCATCATCCATTAGTTCTGAATCACCACAATAATATTGACTCAGATAGAGCTTAGTTAAACCGGCAGTTAGTTCTGAAAACAAAACCTGACTTAATATAAGTTACATGCAAAATGCAAATATAACGTGGTGTGTGCGTGTGGCAGGTAAACCAGCTGTTGCTTATGTAAACCAGTTCATGTTTACAAATACTGATTTAAAAAAAAAAGCAAACCACAGCACATCATCTTCATCTGGGTCCGTCAACACCAAAATAAAGCGTGACAGTATTTCTGCTTCAGCCGCTGCAGGGACATAAAAACCACCGTCGGTTAAAAATGCTAATGCATGTTTATAAATAGTGAAAGTGGCTCGTGCGTTATGAAACCGACTGGCGTCCGCTTCCTGCAGCGGCGGCGGCGTTAACACGTCTGCTCGTTTGGGTTGTTCTGGTCGTCGCTCCCTCAGGTTCCGGCTCATCTCCAAACTCCAAACCGGAATGTCGGATGAGGATTCCCGTGCCAGCACCAGCTCGTCTTCATCGCCGCCTTCCTCCAGCCAGACCAGACAGAGGGACGTACTTTGCAAAAAGAAACGGGAGAGCAAAGCCAGCATGAGCAAGACCTCCAAGCTGCTTTCCACCAGCGCCAAAAGGTCACGAACAAGAACAACTCCACATTGTAATCTATTATGTATTAGTGGTTTCCTCTTATTATCCTGCTTTTTCTTGACTGAAGGCCTCTCCATCTGAGAGGAGGAAGTCGTGCTAATTTCTCTCTGGACGGAGATAAAAACTTCCCTTTTCTCCTGTGAGAAAAACAAACACAACCTCACACACACACACACACACACACACACACACACACACACAGCTCTCTTGAGTTCATTTTTGTTTCCCCCTCAAATCGAAACATGCTGACATTTCCCTGTTTATTTTCTATGTGAAGCAGAAAAAAAGGGAACAAAATCACAGTGTCATGCGAGTTGTGCCTCCCGGTTGTGAAAATGTGGTCATTACCCGAAGACTCCAATCATTTGGCGCCTCACCGTTGCAGATATAAAACCTGGATCCTTTTTATAAATGAAATCACGCTGCGTGCGGATTTTCCCGGTTCGTCCTGTATTCTGTTTGCTTGACCCCAAATGTGTGAAGTTTCTTCCCTTTATCCACACACAAGATAACAGCGGAGAATGACGTTTCATTATTTCTCTTGTCACTTGTTTCTTTGCAGGATTCAGAAAGAGCTGGCTGACATCACTCTGGACCCTCCGCCGAACTGCAGGTGAGTTTCCGTCTCCGCACTAACCGAAACCACCTGACCTCAGACACAAAGCACTCGCGTCGTCACTCCCAGCTTTCTGATCCCGATGAGCTGGATCGGCACCACGAGGCTGTGACTGACTCCACCTCGTTTCCACCTGCGGGCGGTGACATTTCTCCCAACAGAGTTCTAATCGCGTTGTTGCACTTTTGCTTAAACGCACGAGGTGATGATCCGATTTCTGTTTACTGCGAACAGTATGAGGGATGAGTACTTCTACCCATCTGCTACTGTCTAAAAACACCCTGCAGCGTGTCCTCTTAGATCCATTAAGCAGTAACCTGTCAGTGGGGCCCGACTGGTTTGAGGCTGATCTGACTGGTAGGGTTGGGCAGGTTGAAACTTTTTCATGCCGGTTTGATATTGAGCGACACGCAGCGTCCCACACCGAGCCGCTAGGACGTGGCGCTCCACTCGGCAGCCGCTCCTACTGAGGCGTGAGCGTAAAATATCCAATTAAATATATGTATATATATATATTTTTTTAACCTCCAGTTTAAAGTTCCTCAAAAACACACCCGTCATGAGACGCTTTTGCTGCTTTTTAAAAATTTGGTCAAAAGAAAGAGAAAAAAAAAAAAAAGTAGGTTCTGGAATAAATGAAATATCTCCGAATTGCTTCGATTGGATGCGATTTTCCTCTTTTTTTTTTTTTACGTCACATGCAGCAGATCAGAGTCTGTTTGGGATTGTGTTTTTACCGACCACGTAAGCGAAAAGGCCTCCCTGGTCCTCCAGAACGAGCTTCAGATGTGCCCACGATTCATCTGGTTACAAGCGCACAGTGCACGAGTGAATATGTTCCTTTCATGCCGTAACACACGCTGCATTGATTACCCCATTGATGCCGATCCAGCTGCTGCAGCTTGAAACAACACAAGCATATAATCCCTACTGATGTATGGACGGTCTTCAGCGTGGGCGTCTTCCGCCTCTGACTTTATTCATTCATCATTAGCTGCTGTGTGGACGTTGCATCATCAAGCGGCTGCCCAGCGTCGATATGGAAGCGCTTTTTGTTTGTTTGTTTGTTCATTTATTTTCTGCCTGCAGCGCCGGCCCCAAGGGAGACAACATCTATGAGTGGAGGTCGACCATCCTGGGACCCCCGGGCTCCGTGTACGAGGGAGGCGTCTTCTTCCTGGACATCGCCTTCACCCCCGACTACCCCTTCAAACCCCCCAAGGTACTGGTTAGTTACTTTAGTGCCACAGACTGTGAAATACTTCTAAAACGAGGCCAATTGAAATGAAATGTGAGATTATTGTTCAAAAGGTCGTATAATCTGACACGCAAAGCTGACACATTTTCTGATTTTGATCAAAGTTTCTTCTGCGATGTTTTCGTATTTAGCGTTGTACTTTAGCTTTGAAACCGTAATCGATGTTATAATTCTGCTGTTTTTCTGCATCAAATCCTGTGAGAAGTCCAACATTTTAATTCATGGTAACAATATGCTGTTTTTAATATTTTTACCAACAATAATTGAGCTCTAAAGCGCTGAGGAAAAAGGCTTTGGGACATCAGTTGTTGATGTGTTTGGTTTTCTCATACATAATAAGAGCTCTCTGTTCTTTTTATTTTGATTGTGTCTAATATAAACCACTGTGTGCGCTCAGTAGCTGGGTAGTGGTTCATTTGTTGGTCCCCACTGGTTCATTTGGACCAATTAGGCCGTTTTAGGCGCAGACTGCGGACATTATGATGGGAACAATGGTAAAAAAACAGTTTGTTGGTTCTACTAAGGCTAATTCCCAGCAGGATAAAACCATAAAAAAAGAAAATTGGTTTCTCAGCTTTGTGTTTGGTTTACTGTGTGAACATCAGCAGGAAGTTGCAAAGCTGAAGGTGCACCTGTTAGAACTCCCCCTTTCTGCCTCTGCTGTCTGAGCATCAAATGCATCCCCGTCTTTGCTGCTACGACCACTGCCGACCGACGCCAAAAAGGCCAAAACATGGAATTTCCAGTTTTCCCAATGCGTCAAAAGCTACGCAAGCCTCTCGCAGCCAACAAGCCTGCGATTGGTCTGCTAACTACTCACATTTCCGTTTTCATAGCACAACGCTGCCATTATTAAAACGAAGAATGTTTACGAGAGAACGGATCAGATTGAAGAGCTTTTGTCGGAAAAAAATCCATAAATATAACCGCTTATACAAGCCGTCATTGGCGGACTATAAGGACGCGCGGATGGCCTCTGATTCACGGAGGGAGATCTCCGCAAACGTCGGTTTGCCGGTCGAGGGGAAGTTGTGAGAGGAACATACGGGACAAATGTGTCCGCGATGAAAAGCAGCACTGGCGATGCACGGGGCAATAAAGTCTATGATAAATAAATGAACAAACCAACGACTTCCACACACAAAGACGTGACTCTCTAGGTCGTCTTCAACAGAAACATGTTACTCCGCCTGTTGTTTTGGAGGTGAATTGCTCTGCAACACACGCAAGACTTTGAGAACCATGAATTGAAACGAGTGCGTCGACACAACAGGGCGTAAAGACGCAGAAGCGTGCGCCAGCCGTGAGTCACACTATTCAGTGTTTCTTGACATCTAAAAGTACCTCACTCCAGCCACCAGGGGGCGGTCACGTCCTGCAGATAAAAAGTGAAGCCTTTACTGCAGGTTTTACACTGAAGGACAAAGTTAAGAGTTCAGTCTTAATGTTACCAAAACTCCAAATGGAAAAGTGTGTCAAGAGTTTGTTGACTTTGTGGAATGACTCATTGGATCAGACTCTCTGCTGTGGATCCACCCACAACAAAACTCCATTTTGGAATTGATGAATATAAAACATTTATACTGCATGCAAAGGACTGCACATCCATTGAGGAGTCCTGCATCATCTCACCATGACTCCTTTGTGTGCCCTCAGGTGACCTTTCGCACCAGGATCTACCACTGCAACATCAACAGCCAGGGCGTGATCTGCCTGGACATCCTGAAGGACAACTGGAGCCCCGCCCTCACCATCTCCAAGGTGCTGCTGTCCATCTGCTCCCTGCTCACAGACTGTAACCCAGGTAACCCAGCTGGACTTCACTAGCTCACATGCTTATGTGTTAAATGTTCAGAACCTGCAACATGAAGCGTTTCACACTAGCAGCCGTGCAACGTCTTTTTTTTTGTTGTTTTTTTGTCTCGTCATTTGTTCAAATATCCCTCTTTCCGTTCCAGGTTTTTTTTATTACATAACAGGAATTTCAAACTGTGTTTAAGTGTAGTCCGTGGCGCCACCTTGACAGGAAACCCGTCGCCTGGACATCCGATTCCAGCGCACGTTGCTCCTAAGGGGGAAACCAAAGAGGGTTTATTTGCTGCATTACCGCCATAAGCAGGAGCACATTTTGTATCACAGAAGATTTGCTGACACGTCGGTTGTTCTTGTTCTTGTTCCACCTGCTGCAAAAGACTGACAGGACTTCTCTGATTCTGCTCATGGACACAGATTTGAATTGGCACTAAAACTTCTCAACACATCTTCCCGACCAGAACGAGACCCTCACCTTTTACAATTTTTTACAATGCAGCTAAAACAATTTCTTGTTGATTATTAAAGAAAATGAATTTTTTACTAATATATATATTTTTTTTTTATATGCAGCCAAAACGTAACATGAATGCTATTTGTCTCCTCTCAGCCGACCCGCTGGTGGGAAGCATCGCCACCCAGTACACCGCCAACAGAGCGGAGCATGACCAGACAGCCAAACAGTGGACGAAGAGATACGCCACATAGACCCACATAGTGGGGGGGTGCGGCCGGGGGGGAGGGGTTATTTCTATCTCAGATTTTTAGTACTTTATTGTCTGGTATATTTTTTGCTTCCTGATTAAATTATCTCCACAAATATGGTAATAAAGGAAAACAATGGAAAGGAAATCTCGTCCGCCTCCTTTTTCTTCTACATTGTTATTTAAAGGTTGGTAGCTTTGTATTACCAGAATATACTGCTGACACTTTATATTTTGTAAAATATTACAAGTAGTTATATGATGATTGTAATTGTTTTACCTTGTCAACAATGTTAAAATATTTGATCATTTGGCAACACTGTTTATACTCACTGTTGATAAATGTGCGTAGATAAGGACATTCAAATATGCTACATGCGAAATATAAACCCCCAACTCTTCACTTGAAGCCCCCCTCCCTCCCTTTAACCATGCCGTAATAATCCTTTTCACTCCGTGTTAGTGAAGGTGTTGGATGTGCTGCAGAGTCGTAACACCTGGATGACTTCTCATGTCAGAGTGACATTTCCCACATTGTGTATCTCAGGAGAGGCAGAGAAAAGCTGTAATGGCCTCAATCTGTCAGCAAATATTTGACCCTTTCTCTCTTAACTCGGCACTTTGGTTTGGAAAACTGTCTTTTCACATCGCTGGAAGGCAAGAATACAAAATGTTTCCTGTCAGTCACACCGTAGAGAACTTTTACAAGTTTACTGTCGGATAATGATTGTTGTACTTTAGCACGGCCGCCAGTGTGTGACTGAGAAGAGGCATGTAGGGGTGGATTTTGTAGATAACGTGTTTATATATAGAAATCAGGTCACCTAGTATCTTATAAACAGCTCATTTGTTCAGATGTATCAAATACATACGTTGATACATGTCAGACGTCTGACTCACCTGGGCCACTGGGAGGCAGGTGGAACAAGTTCTCCTCATTTGGAAACCCATTATACTCTATTGACTCAAAAATATTCATTAAAGGTTACTTCTCAAGAGCCGCAATCAAAACGTATAAAATCAGAAACATTCAGACGTACACATTACATTTCGCACAAAGGTGTCTTAAAGGGGCAAGTGCACTACTTGAGGAAACTAAAGTGAGCCCACTGAGAACCTGTGTGAGCGGTAAGACTCAACGCGTGAGAACAGGCGTCTCTGAACATGGCAGGACTCCTGCACATGTAAACGCTGATGGAATGAGCCACAGGAATGTTCGCCGTCCTCTTCACATACGAACATACGCGCTGGGGACGCTCTTCTAGGGTTGTAATTACCGCAAATCGAAATACCTCGAGGTGTGTCTTGTAGGCGTAAGGAACACACTGACCTACCTCCAGCTGTTCACACGTTCAAACGTGGATTGACGGAACAAATACCTGCTTAATCCCAGTGGAGAAAAGGTTTTTCTATTTTTAAGGACAGGTGGTTTTGTACTAAACAAACAGCGTGACAGGCAGCATTTATGCTGCTTTTCTTGTCTGTCCTTAACTTGAAGTTAAAAAGGATTGGATATATCATTTTCCCACAGTGAGTTTGCTCAAATGGAGTAAAACAGAACATTTTCCCAAATAAGCAAGAGAACTCCTCTGATGTTCAGCACATGCTGATGCTTATCGGTTCATGTTTGTCAATGTCCAGTTCTTAAAATACTTGGGATGGTTTCATAAGATGCTGCTGACCTGCCAAGTGAAAACTATTCCCCAGACTGTGGAACTCGGGCCAGAATGCTGAATCTGGTAAATAAATCCACCCTTGCCGCGCACGTCTTAGTGAAACTGACTCCCTCTCTACTTAAAATAATCCTCTTATAAAACATCTTTTCCAGGAACCAGACATATTCTTTTATTTTTTGTCTCTGAAATATGAAGTGGCCAAAGTTAACGGTTAACTAATTTAACACAAACCCAGCTGGGTCAGCTCACATGCGATAACAAATCGTAAACGTGAAATTCCTCTGGTCAGCAGGAATAAGCGTTAATCGCTTACTTCAGTCGTTCGATGATTTAAAACCTCACGTGCAATATTGAGGCTCCTTCTTCTGGACAAAACCTCACGTGGGCTAACGTTAGCAACAGAACCACCTTTGGTTCAACGCCGCGGGTCACCGCCAAAATTCCCTCCGTCTTTTCTACTTTAGACCCGTTTCCTATTATGCAAAAATATCCCAAAAGGCGGCAAATGTGGTTAATAAAAAATTTTAAAAAACATTTGAATCTTTCAAATGTGCAAACAAGTGTGTCTGTGAGGTTAAGAACTAGAGCGTGACTCGTGACGCTACGTTGAGCGCTCAAACAACACCTTATTACGTGTAATTATAAGGAAGGTGGCTGATGCTCAGGAACACTATGTGCTGCCAAGATTATTAAAATAGATCGACCAGAGTACAATTCCTGCGGTTGGTTTGGACTGTACATTTTGTACTCTGCGGTTTCTTAATTGATCGCGTTAGAAGGTCCCGTTTCCTTTTTCAAATCCAGTTTCAAAGAATCCATTTTAGAGCAGAATTACGATCGCAGTGGAGAAAAAAACACAAGTTTCCTAATTGTATAGTTTAACAAATGGTGAAATATGTGTTTCACATGTTTCCTTTCAGTAGAACAATTACAAATAAATTAGCTTGTTAGCCTGTAAGCATGCTAACGTTTGCTATTTAGCGCTAAACACAAGTACAACTGACGCTGATGTCGACGTGATTAGTTCTGCAGGTCTACATTTGCTCATTAATCAGAACACTGGACAAATGAACCAGCTGTCAGCGCGAGACCAAAAGTGAAGGGATCAGCCAAGTGAACACATTTAATCCCGGGGGGTTGAATGTCGGTGACGGACACATCCGATAGTCTTTGAGCCTTTTAGCTTTCAACCGTTAGCCGAAACCAATGGTGTAACCGGACCACCACTGGTCGGGTAGAAGCAGCCAGCAACGTGACATCACGGCACGTTTGGATTTCCCTCTGTGAAAACTTGGTTTCGGCATCATGCGGTTGAGGTCTAATTTAGTCACGGTTTGAGGTCACAATCAGTTTGTTGTCGTTTAGTAGGAAAGATTTGATGAAATCCCGTCTTCTTACTCCGTAAAGACGTTCTGAAGTTTCATCGTGACTTCAAGTTCTGCTCAACGTTACATATATTCAACCTTGACACCTGCACATCCTTCGCCCGCGCTGTCCTCAATTCTTTCATTTTCTGGGGAAAAGTTAGGGGGTTTCCGTGCGCAGAAACAAAATGAGGTTTCGTAATTTTGATTTCCCTTTCTAGAAGTCGACTCTGTGTACAAAGGGGACCTTTTTTGTTTCCAAAATAAGGCTTGTGGTCTTGCCGAGATGACATCTCTCATTGACTAGTCGCTGAGTGAGATGAAACAGTGGTGTCTGAGACATGTATTTATGATGTGTCAACAAAATTAAGATTTTTATTGATCTTGTGTGGTTATAAAGGAAAAATGAACGCATGGCAAGCCAATGCCAGTGGCCTAAAACCACAGCCAGGTCACCCGATACGTGGAAACGGCGGTAGCGTTTCCGAGGAGTTTTACCGGGGGGTAGAATAGAAGGTCTGCTTTGCTTATACAGACCAGGTCACATAAAAGGCATCCAGAGTAACTCAAAACCTCATTAGTTAAAAGTAAGTACAAACTTAAATTATAAAGCGGAAATGTATTTTTGTGTTTAATGCTACAGTGTTTTACCGCGATGAAAACTTTAACCGTAAGCATCACGCCGACGACCGTCTGCAGTCGTTTTTTGGAAATAAAGCGGCAACTTCTTTTCAATACGATTATGCGCGGCTGTCTGCAGCAGCATGCGAGAGTTTCCATTTGGTCTGTGAAGGATTGGTAAAAACAAGGTAATCTTTGCAGATGCAAAATGACATGGAAAAAATAGAAAATAGGTCAAAATATTTTGTGATAAACAGATTTCAACAGCTGGAATGAAAAACTGGAAAACAATTTACAGTTACAGACAAATAAATGAATAAAAATGTTTGAATAAGTAAAACATAATCTTGTGTATGTAATATGTTATGCCTGTACATTTTAATGGCTTTCAACAGTGTGTCTTAATGTTAGCATAATAATTTAGGATGTCATGACGATATGTATTTGATAAGTGCCTTCACTCCCTTCTGCACATTTTGTACTTTGCACTGTTCATTATTTAAAACAGGTTTGTACTCAGGTGTTTTGCGTGCTGGTCCACTTACAGCCTGAACGCGCTCTGCTGCGGTGTGTCTGTCCACGGCTCAGCGTGCACGTTGTGCTCTGCAACGTGACCCGCTGTGTTACACATTCCTCTCTGCGCAAGCCACGAGGCCCCGCCCCCCCGACTCCCTCCAGGGCCCTGAAACTGTGTCACTGGGTTAAAGTGGCTCGAGAACAGGGAGGGCGGAGCCAAAGAAAAGTGCACATGGACGAGCCCACGACCGAGAACATTTAGTTCCTACCGACTAGCACTCTCACTATAAGAAGTGATCTCCATCGAGCTGGACGCATTGGACTTGTTCTCTGAGAAGATCCTTTACACAGAACGAGCCTCGTCTTCTCAACTGCCTTTCGTGCGGGATTTGTTCTTTCTTCCGGGATATTTTGGAGACATTTGAATCATCAGATTTATTCCTATTTTTCCTTTTTTTTTGTTTACCTCGATCAAGATATTCCTGAGGACATGGGGACCCACAATCCCGGTAAGCGGACAAATAACAATTTTCATTTTTAATTTCGGGGAATTTAACGTTGTCATTCATCGCATGCAGTTCGCAGAGAGGGTGTTAACATTTATTAAATCTGTAGTGGTCCCAATTCATTCTGTAAGACCCTCCCCATCACGGAACATCTGTTTATATATTATATATATATATATATATCCTTAGGTGTATTTATGTATATATGTGTTGTATGTTTATGTTTATTTATTAATTATTATATGTGGGTGTATGTGTGTGTATATATATACACGCATTAAGTGTTTTGCAAAACACAAATTAATCAAATTAATGCGGTCCTTCCATTGGAACTGCACTAAAATGTTCAACTAATGACGGAAAATGACGCAAGTAGTTTTTTACGACACTGTCGCGCGGTTGAACCGAGTCTTTTTGAACGGGCTTAGGACATTTACATTCGACACAACAGTGTTTATCTTCCCCGCTCACATGCACAGCGCAGCCGAAGCCATGTGCGCCGTGTGTACGCGCTCTCAGGGAACACGGCTCTGATTGGCCGGGGGGCGTGTCCCCGACACACGGGCTCCTGGGTTAGAGCTCTTCTCGGATTGGCTGGAGGGGGAGTGACGCGGTGACGTTGCATAAAGGCACACCGCGAGGTACACGTGAGAGGAGCCAGAGCGTCTGACCTAGATTTCGGTTCCACAGAAATGCACGACGGGTCGTCGTGTGCGTGGGCAGTGAAAAAAGAAAAAGAAAAAAAAGAGTCATACTCGCGCTTAGGTAATCCCCTGCTGTCTTCCTCAAAGTGTTTATTTCATTAAAGAAGAAAATCAGGCTTTTCAACAAATATCCAAATAAAGACATTCATTTTAAAAGGCAAATTATGTTAATTTGAACTGCTTTAAAATTTAAAAACCCTACTTCGGTCACATGACTTGGCAAAACGATTATATTTATATATCCTTTTTAATTCTTTATGAATTAACACCAAAAGTTGTGGGTAGAATTAGCTTCTCAAATAACTTGACAGAGTACACAAGGGGGGGGAAATACATTGGAAAAACAAAACTTAATGTCACTCTGACCTTTGCTCCCCATACACAAGACTTTTTAGATAATATATTGTGAATGTATTAACATGTATGAACCACGATTTGCCTTCCACTTTCTCTAAAAGTGAATCCATTCATTACTTGTGTGTCACATCACATGTTAGATAATACTTTTCTTCACAATCCCACAATTTTGTAACATGTCTATCACGGGCCAACTGATGGTCCACCGACCTTCACGTTCTGAATCGTTGAAACCAAACCGGTTTTCAGTCCAAACCTGATCGCCGATTATTTTGCTTTTTTTCCTTCCCATGATTTCTTTATTTGGTTATTTATTGCTTCGGTGACCCTGTATGGAGCTCCCTCCCATAGCAGAGACGCGTGTTTGTTACGTAATGGTGTTATCCAACCAGAGGGCACTTTGGGGGATAAAAGCAGGTGTATCCGAGAAGTCAACAAACCAGATAGGCGTTTCAGTTTGCGCATTGAATCACTGTACTCTGTGTACTGCCAAGTATAATCTGGCACACAAAACAAGACATTTTAATTACCACGGTTTACCGTCTGGCATGCGTGGTACCTAATAAGGGCGGAATTACATGAAATACCAGAACGTCTGCAGGCGCATGTGTTTCGTGTACAAGCTCAAGAATAACGCCTCCTGTTATTGTAAATAAAAAGAGGGAAGTCACTATAACGGCTATCGCTGTCTCTCCACAGGAGTTATCGCCTACATCGCCTCCAGCCCAGAGTCCTTCGTGATGAGCACCAGCCCCAGCCGAGGCTTCCAGGCCACGCCGGCGCCCCGCTCGTCGCTGCCCAGCAGGACTGTCGGCATGGTGGTGGACATCTGCCCGGCGGCCAAGAACGGCCACGGCGCGGAGAGGGCCGGGCGCTCCACCGCGTCTTCCAAGAGCAGCATCACCAGTAAGTATTTAAATAACATGGTTGTTCTTGGTAATAATTATTGTTATTAAGAACAATGTCTAATCTGGTGACACAAAGATCATTGCTTATAATGTGTTTTGTTTGTTTTTTTGCAGAAATTAACGGCATGGTGCTGCTGTGCAAGGTGTGCGGCGACGTGGCCTCGGGCTTCCACTATGGCGTCCACGCCTGCGAGGGCTGCAAGGTGAGACGAGTTCCCTCAGAAAACGCTCCACGTACTGTTTACATCCACATCCACTTATTATCCACTTACACAATACTCATTGCTTTTTATTATTGCTATTTGTTCAGGGCTTCTTCAGGAGAAGCATCCAGCAGAACATCCAGTACAAGAAGTGTCTCAAGATGGAGAACTGCAACATCGTGAGGATAAACAGGAACCGCTGCCAGCAGTGTCGGTTCAAGAAGTGTCTGGCCGTCGGCATGTCCAAAGATGGTGAGAAGTCATTTTGCTTTCTGTCAGCCGACGGGGATTAAAGTTGTTTAATCTCGACGCAATCTAATGACCTTTTTCTTCTTTCTCTCAGCTGTCCGATTTGGCCGCATCCCAAAGAGGGAGAAGCAGAGGATGCTGCTGGAGATGCAGAACGCCATGAACAACATGTTGAGCAGCAACAGCCCGCTGCAGAGCATGCTGCACGGCCACCAGAGCCCGCCGCTGCCCGCGGAGCCCAAGAGCGCCTCCTCGCCCGCCTCTTCTTCCTCCTCCGCTTCCGACTCCCCGGCGTGCTCCAACCCTTCCTCCCCGCGGTTCCCCCAGGACTCTGAGTCCGTGGTTTCCATGGACACCAACTTCAGCTCGGGCTCGTCCTGCGCGTCGGACAGCGGCGAGGACGAGGCGGCGGCGACGGCGAGCAGGCAGAACCGCGGCGCGTTCGCGTGCAGCCAGCAGAGGTCCCCCGGGTGGGACCGGGCTTCGCCCCTGACTGGGGCGGTCGTCCCCCCGCAGACTGGGTGCAATGGCCGCATGGCGGCGCAGCAGCAGCAGCAGCAGCAGGGGAGCCGGAGCTGCTGGAACAGCAATGTGGTTGCCGGGGGTTACCAAGACCGTCCTTACTGTATCAGTCCGCGCGTCACCAACACTGCTTACAGGGAGGAGAGCGAAGTTCACCAGCAGCAGCTCAACAGCGCCCCCAGCTGCAAACATTCAGAAGACTTCCAAAGACAGCTCGGCTTCAACACACAAACCGGTTACAGCGGACCAACCAGCTGCGTGAACAGCAGAGCGCACTTGGTGAGTGTCTTTCTCCTTCCGGTCACGTAAATATTCCTGCATCTGAAAAGCAAAGTTAGGCGCATCGAGCCCCCGATTGACCGTGTTCTTTTGTTCCAGGTCTGTCCCATGAACTCGTCCCCCTACGTGGACCCCTGCAAGCCGAGCCAGCAGGTCTGGGAGGAGTTCTCCCAGAGCTTCACGCCCGCCGTGCGGGACGTGGTCGACTTCGCCAAGAGCATCCCGGGTTTCCGCGACCTCCCCGAGCACGACCAGGTCGGCCTGCTGAAGGCCGGGACGTTTGAGGTAAAGAGAACTTGATGTTACGTTGTGCCACGCTTTCGAAGCCCGCGCCGGGTTCTTTAAATGCGTAGGGGACGATGTGCTCCGATCTTTTAATTTTTTTTTGGTGGTTGTGGCTTCATCCGACTAAACCTCTAACCTCCCCCTCCCAGGTGCTGATGGTCCGATTTGCCTCTCTGTTCAACGTGGTTGAGCGCACCGTGACCTTCCTGAGCGGCAAGCGCTACAGCCTCGACACGCTGAGGTCGCTGGGCGCCGGCGAGCTGCTCAACTCCATGTGCGAGTTCAGCGAGAAGCTGGCGGCGCTGCGGCTCGACTCGGACGAAATGCGCCTCTTCATGGCCGTGGTGCTCGTGTCAGCCGGTAAGAAAACTGTCTTCTGATGTGAGAAAGGGGAGGAGCTAAATCAAATGAATCTAAAACTCTTTAACGAAGCCCCTTCTGGCCACCGGCATTGACCCTTTTCTCCCTCTCGGCCTCTGACACAGATCGCTCGGGGATTCAGGACCTGAGCTCCGTTGAGGCCCTGCAGGACCAGCTGATCCGGGGTCTGAGGAACCTGGTGATTCATAACCACGGCGAGGAGTCGGCCACCACCTTCACCAAGCTGCTGCTCAAGCTCCCCGAGCTGCGTTCGCTCAACAACATGCACTCCGAGGAGCTCCTCACCTTCAAAGTGCACCCTTGAAAGAGCTTCCAGCTTCCAGCTCATCCACACACCTCCGGCAGGAACTGCCTCTCGCGTCGCCCTCCTCCGTCCCCCACGAGCCGACCCACTCGCGTGTTTGTTTCTGGAATGTATTAAAAGTTGTTATTTGATGCCGAGTAGAAACCTGAAGAGAAATTAAGATGAGACGTACTGTATTTATAGAAGGCAGGAGGGCCTTGGTTCACGCACGAGTCGGAGAACACGACTGGCCTCCATCGGACGTTGCGAGCAGGAACTAATGAGTCGCTCTTTGGGACACTAAGGATTCCTCAGTGTGTCCGGCAGCGGAATGTGAGGGACGGTGTGAAGCCGACGCGCCGCGTGTTGGGTTGTTCCAATACTATTGACTGATGGACGCTGCTACTGCATAATATCAACTGTTCTCACGTGGGAGTTCTTCTACCTCTCGTCTCGATTTCCCTGTAAATAGTGTCACGTTTTTTTTTTCCGGGGATTTGTTCTTGAGCAGAACATTTAAACCCTAAAAATTGTCACACGTTTCTGCTGTTTTCCCACTTGTTTGTATGTTATTATCTTTGTCTGCTTTTAGCATGACACAGAATTTTAATGTTTGTCATCCATTTTGTTAAAACATGTTTCTGCAACTGGCAACACTGCCATATGTAAATAACTATATAAATTTCAAATGAACATAGAATATAAATATGAGATAGTATGAATAAATACAAGTGAAGAATACTGTTGATGTTCAAGTGTATTTGAATGAATGAAGCTGACTTGAGAGCAGCACAAATGAATCTGAAGATGCGTCCGTTCTTCACTAGGTGGAGCTATTTACCATCAGCGTCTTTATTTCCAATCAATTTCTACTCGAGCGTTTCCAGTTTGTCTTTGCTAATGGTTGCATAATATGAACGAGTTTATCCTCCAATGAGTCACCTGCAGATCAACTGAATAACTTTCAATTCCGCTCCAACAAAATATATTTGAAAGCATATCTAAAACTGCAAAGATCCAGAGCTGAGGAGGGCGAATCTGTCCACAAGACCAGTATTTGTGATGTGCTCCACAAATCTGGCCTTCATGGAAGAGCGGCAGGAAGAAAGGTTCATCTTTCAGTGGGACAATGATCCTAAACACACAGCCAGAGCTACAATGGAATGGTTTAGATTAAGCATGTTGATGTTTTTAAGTGGCCCAGTCGAAGCCCACACCTCAATCCAATTAAGAATCCAAGGTACTATGTATATATACAGTATATAGTATGTAAGAGTGATAGGGGAGAGCACAGGTGTCCTTCACTCAGAGGATGGGAAGCCGCAGTGTGACGGTCAAATTTAGACACACACACACAGACAAAGTAGATCTATTTACCTTCACTGGTTTGACTAAGAAATCACTTCCAGAGACATGATTGTTCGTCTCTTTTCTTCCGGCGTCTGTACTCCACCCCAAGTAATGTTTTGTCAGACAAATTAATGAATTTAAATCTCTTGACCTTGTGTAGTCTCCAAGTTGACAACAATCAGCATGACAAGGCCTTTATCATTTATTGTTATTACATCCGATTTGTGTGATTGTTTTTCCTGAAATGTCCGCCTGTTGTCTGTGACACTGTGCAGTTCAGAAAGCACGGCAAACAGTGGTGAAGATGAAGATCCAGTCCAGCAAGAACATGGAAGATCTGCATCAGGTCGGTGCATGTGTGTGTACAATTTATATATATATTTTAGGGCTGTCAACATTAACTCGTTAATCTATGCGATTAATGAGGCCTAGATTAATCGCTTCCGGCCCCGGAAGTAAACGGGAAGTTGACCGGAAACAACACGGCCGCTAGCTGCAGTGATGGGAATGAATGAGATGGTGCGAGATCTTGCTAGGAGACCAAACGCTGTTTACATGCACGTACGGAGACTACTGGAATGAGAACACAACGTTTGGTGGCTACAACTATTTTGTGCTGAAAGGCAGCTATTTACTTACTATTTATAATTTCGCTGGTAACCGTATTATAAAAGCAATAAGGTACCTGAGGCAGTATCTTATCTTCATTAATGCTACGCGCCAGGCCTAACAACGCCCCCGAACTGTTACATTATTGCTTTAATACAACCACATCGTTCATATAGAATTTACCCTGCAGTTACTCTGGAAACCAGTAAACATTACTGTTCTTTAACTTTCACGTTAAAGACTTGAAGCTCGGCCTGGACAATTTTACTTTCCGCGTGTTACCTTTCACACTGAAGTGTGTTTTCTGCTTTGAGTTGTGTTGAATTTGGGGTTTTGTTTGACAGAACATTTGTAAATTAGAGTTAATGTTGTGCGATATACTGACAGAAACTCAAACTACAAAGGACTGTTCATTATTTTTCTTGTATAGTCTCGCATAATACTGAGGGTTGTTGTCATTGATTTATTTTCAGTGTCCATCCATCCATTGTCAAACCGCTTATCCTGCACACAGGGTCGCGGGGGGGCTGGAGTCCATCCCAGCCAACTTCGGGCGACAGACAGGGTACATCCTGGATTGGTCGCCAGCCAATCGCAGGACTAACACAGAGACATACAACCATTCACACTCACATTCACACATCTACAGGCAATTTAAAGTCACCAATTAACCTGATCCCCAGAGCATGTCTTTGGACTGTGGGAGGAAGCCGGAGAACCCGGAGAGAACCCACGCAGACACGGGGAGAACATGCAGGCTCCACACAGAAAGGCCACTGGGCCAGGACCTTCCCAGGACCCAGGACCTTCTTGCTGTGAGGCAACAGTGCTAACCGTGCCGCCCTTATTTTCAGTGTCTTGCACTTTATTCTATTACTTTACTTTTCTTTTACAAGCTAATAATGCTATAGTTGTAAATAGATTCATGAATACCAACAATCAGAAAATGCATGTATTCAAATGGTTTAACTTGAGGATAATTCTGGTATATGAATTTCTCGTTGTCATCAAATAACTAATTACTAAGAAGTATTGTCTGTCTGCTTCAGAATGAATCCTACCGTTTCAGAATAAAAGTATAGATATTTCTGGCAGAAAGCATGCATGAATGAATGAACTTTCCTATTGTGCTCAAGGGTCAACGTTGACTTTCAGTTCTTCACGTAAAACAAAGAGTGCTCACCTGAATGAAAGTAATTAATATGTTTGACCCCTCAACCTTCAGTCCACACTGTTGAACTTTATTACCCTAGTCGATAGCACTGCAAAGTGCAAACAGACTTTACCAAAGCAGATGATTAATAAAACTTACACAGAGGTTTAGACTTTATTAAGCTAAGAGGAGGATGATGACTTTACAGGATATTTATGATGCAACCAGCATCCAATGGATTAACTTGATTAAAGCGATGTTTTGCATATGGAAATATTGTCAAGCACTTTAAAACACTCAAGAGGGTTTATCCAGGTTGTCTTTGTCGGAATTACTGGAGGATCAACACCATGGAGCTCAAATGTCAACCGTAGAATACATTTCAACAGCTGGATTTGAGATTTGTGAGTATTTCCACATCACTGCAACAATCAACAAGGACTGCAGGTGAATAATTGTTAATGTAAGAGCTGTTTCATGACCCGGCTCTCAATTCGGAGCCAATGGTGAAAGAGACATACAGGGTATTTAAGAGAAAATATATTTATTTTTAGGGATTGCTGGAAAAATGGAAAATAAATTTGAACTAAACTAAATCTGACAGTAAAAACTCTGCCCTTTAGCTAACTAGAGTAAATATAACACAGGGAGCCTGGGAAAGACTCTCTTCTCCGGACACAGGATGGTCGCGTCTTGTGGGCTGCAGACGTGGTCGACTGCCTCAATCTCTAGAATTGACCAAAATCCTGATTACCTGTCATCACCAGCAATATATAGTCTGTGTGCCTATTTTGTTTTGTTTGCATTCTCTAATAAGAGCATATCTCCCTCGTTGTCTCATCATTATTGTTGCAGCTGCTTTTCAGTCTCTTTTTAATTAAAGGATTCAGTCCCGAAAGTTCCCTTTTATTTTAATTATTTAAATCTTTCTTCTTGTTTGCAGTGAAAATCAGCAATGGATTGTTCCGTTCCTCTGAGTGTTCTTTTCTTTGGTGAGGTTCAGTCATTTAAATTATGTAACATCATTTTAAGCTTGTTGAGTGATGCATCAGCGCTAATATATAAATAAGCAGGAAAACCCTTTTGTTAATTTTCCATAGAGGATATTTCTTAATCACCAGAAAGTTAGTTTTGTTCCTTGCTTCTTTTAATAAAATAACAAACAGATGAAAATTCTGAAATTGACAACGAAGACATATACTGAAGCAAGAAATCTATTAAAAAATGTATTGTGGTGAAAGAATAGAAGATGCTTCATAGTGACATAACATATATTTAACTTAAATATACAGTAAATGTCCTCACATTTAGGTTTTTATATGTAAAAGGTGTAGTGTAGTGTAGTGTAGTAGTACAATCTGCACGAGTTGGATTTAATGCTACTGTATGAATATGGGGATGATTTAATACTTTGTAAATCACTAAACACTAACCGTGCCGTCTCTCACGACCCTCAGGAGTTAACTTCATCTCCTGCTCTCACTTACCACCACTACGTAAGTACTACTATGTTGACAAATTGATGACCTGGGCTGGAGCTCAGCGTTACTGCAGAGAGGAATACACCGACCTGGCGACCTTCGAAAGCACGGATGATGTCAGCAGGCTGCCACCTGACACCAAACCATCTAGATGGATCGGACTGAGTGACGACCCTAAATCGTGGAGGGGCACCATGGGTAATGACCCCAACTCCTGGAGATGGTCATCGACTGGTGAAACCAGTAGAACCGGTTACCAGAACTGGGCGGCGGGGAAACCAGCCAATCCCCTGCAGACCTGTGCTGTGATGCTCGCTGATGGACGATGGAATGAAAATTCCTGTGAATCAGCTTTATATTTTTTTTGTTACACTGGTGAGATATTGTTTGAGTTTATTCATTTTATACACTGAATGCATT